ATTGAGTCCTTCAGAAGTGTCTTGGATCATCACATTGCTGAGAATAGCTAAGTCATTTACATTTGATCATTGTACAATATTGCTATTACCATATACAATAGTCTCCTGGTTCTGCTTATTTCACTTTACATCAGTTCATACAAGTCTTTTATGCTTTTCTGAAAGCATAAACAGGACCACTTAAAAAGTAATAGGATCAGAGGGGCAGCTAGGTGGTGCAGTGGATTGAGCACTGGCCCTGGAGTCAGGAGGACCTGGGTTCAAGTCTGGCCTCAGACACATAACACTCACTAGCTGTGTGACTCTGGGCAAGTCACTTAACTCTAATTGCCAAAAAAATTTATAAAAAGTAATAGAATCAAATCAATTCATTATGTATTTTTTAAAGGGCAAGCGATATAAAGATTCCAAGTTTCATATACAACCTTCTTTTTGTGTTCTATTTTGTATATGAAAATGCTTGGCTTTTTAAATTATTATTTTGAGAAAAAAATTTAAAGAAAATTACTTTAGTGGCATTGTGGAAGATAGACTAGAGTGAGACGAGATTTCAGGTAGGGAGAACAATTAATAAACTATTGCAGTAATACAGATAAGAGGTGATGAGGGCCTAAACTAAATTGGTGGCAGTGTGAATTAGAAAAGAGATATTTGAGAGATGTGAAGCAGAATAAGGAGTTAAGGATAAGGCCAAGGTCATTAACCTGGGAAACTAAAAGAACAGTGATTCCTTTAACAGAAATAGTGAAGTTTGGAAGAGGGATTAATTAGGGAGGGAGGGAGACAATGCATTCTGTTTGGGAAAATACTGAATTTGAAACGTATATGGGATATCCAGTTTGAAATGTCCAGTAGATAGTGATGTAAGAGTGAAACTCAAAGGAGATATTTTGTGTATATTTATTTATACATTTATTAATTCATCCATTTATTTATTTATTTATAAGTCACCTTCATAGAGATGACAATTAGACTCTTGAGGGCTGATGAAGTCCCCAAGAAAGAGAGCAAAGAGAGGTAAGAGTTCTCAGGACAGAGTTTGGGGGAGGACTCACAGTTAGAGGGTGACCGAAACCTGAACCAGCAAAGACTGAAAAGGAACAGTTAGAGAAATAGGAGGAGAACCAGGAGAGAGTAGTGTAATGATAACCCAGAGAACAGAATATCTAGGAGGAGAGGTTGATCAATAGTGCCAAATGCTGAGTCATGAAGTAAATTCCATCAGAAAGGTACATTGTTGTTGCATGCTTAGGCTATGGGATGTATCCAAGGGGCAACAGATATGGTCTCCCTCAACGACTTCCAGACTTTTTGAGAGAAATCACACAAAAATTCCCCTCTACAAGCTGGACAACCTCACACGACCTTTAATCATTTAGTTCACTTATGATTTCTAGTCTTATCATTATCCTGGATGTAAATATACATCCAAATATAAATCCAAAATCAAACAACAACAATTTTTTAAAAAACCATCAGTAGCTCTCTCGCCTCTGTGATAAAATAGAAACTCCTCATCTTGGCATTTAAAGTCTTTTATAATCTGGGTCCAGCCTACATTTCCAGGATTATTTCACATTACAAACTCTATATTCCAGACAAACTGCTCTGCCTTCTCCTCCTCAAACTTGTCATTCTATCTTCTGCCTCCATAACTTTCTACCCATTGTCCCTAATGCCTGTGTTAACAGGAATAACCAATAACCCCAATTCTTATAAGCCTGTGCAGAGGGCATCAGCTTGTCTGGCTGATGCAATTTCCCATATGTGGAAACCCTGCTTCTGGGACAGTGGTGACGATGTTTACTCATGGAGATCCCTTGGTGAGACCTTGTAGAGTGAGTAGACATTCTGTAACTGATTCATGTTGGCTAACCCCATGGTGAATGGCAGTCTCTCTAACTGGCTTCAGTCGTGGAACAAGAACTAGCGGCATCTTTAAAAGGCCTTAACTGGCCTCAGTCACTCTCTTGGTTGGACCTCTGTCTCCTTCATTAATGGCACTTGGTAAAGACACTGCTGTAAGGGGAGAAGTATATAGTCTTTTCTCCACCTGAGGCCAACATGTAACCTCTAAAACAAGCTTTCGTTCTTTACCTTGGGGATTGTGTTTTTACTGTAGATGAGATTAATTTAGAGTCTCTAATCTTACGAGTTTCTAAACGTCAGTTCCCGAATCTGAGTTGATTGGTTTTATAGCCAGCCCAGCACATATGTCCCCAGCAAGAATTGAAACAATGACCCATCTAGCAGAGATTCTGCATTTTGAGATGAACTTGGTAGGACCAATGCATGTAGAAACTGTACCAAGAGTGAGCTCCCTCTCCCCAGAGACTGAAATGGTATAGGAGAGAGTATGTCTTTATACACCACAGGGAAAATGTTTGGACTTTTGTTATTGCCAATATCTTCAAAATAAATATCCATTTGTGTTTTTTTTCCTTTTTTGGTGAGGCAATGGGGTTAAGTGACTTTCCCAAGGTCACACAGCCAATAAGTATCAAGTGTCGGAGGGGATAAATTCCTGGGGCATTCTATTAGAAAACTCCTTCTAAGCTGATATCTATCCATTAAAAGAGAGCTGACCTGTGAAAAGCCCAGGGCTTTGCCCCAAGACATGAACATTTAGTGGGTCCTGACAGAAAGGTGGTGGACTAGAGATGCAAAATGAGACATACATTTTTAGACGTGGCCATTGTGAATATTTGTTTTGCTTGACTGCATGTTTGTTACAAGTTTTTGTTTTTGTTTTTGTTTTTAAGGAGGAGGAGAGTGGGAGGAAGAAGTTGGGATAAGGATAGGGTTCCTCTCCCCAAAAAGGAGAAAAGAAGTCAGAAATAATCACAGATAAGCAGAACTCTGAAAATTACATTAAATTTATTGTATATTTAAAAAGAAAAGGTAAACTGAAGGTAATAGAGACCTATTGTTTCACATGTAATCCTCTCCTGTTCTATAATGTACGTACATATATATATATATATATATATATATATATATATGTGTATATATATATATATGTATATATATATATATATATATGTATATATATGTATATATATATATGTATATATATATATATATATATATGGAAATGCTTATGGTATTTGGTGTTTAAGTTCAAAATAAAAATAAAATTAAATGTATATTTTAAAATAACAATTAGCTGTGCAGCTGGAAAAACTGATGCCTCAGTGATTTCTAAGCCAGAACTGAGTGAGTATATGAAAGGGAAGAAGACATGCCTTTCAATAGTCTTTTTCCTTTGAGACTGTGAGAGGAGGCAAGACTACACTGAGCTGCTTCCCATCATAGGACCAGGGAAGAGAAGAGCAGTTGCTCTGATGCCCACCCAGACAATGCTAGCTATGAGTACAAGGCTGCCCCTATCTCTTAGTGTTTCTTCTCTGACGAAATGACCAAGCAGCAATTTCAAGGTAGATATGCCCAGGCGATGCCTTTTAAATTTAAAAGGGGTGGTGGGGAAGTCCCATTGAAGCTAAATGGTGGTGATGGCAGTGCCCCATCAGAGTGGCACTGGCTAACATAACAGAAGGGAAAGCAGCTGCAGCAAGACATACAAGATCACTGAAGATGAATAGATGTGAATTTCAAAGAATGTGATCCCTCCTGGCAGGAAGTGCTGACTATGAACTCTGGAAAGGTAGGGATCCTAGGAGCCAGGTATGTAGCAAGTAGAGAGCCACCTGGAAGGGAAACTTCAAGAAGATTCCATAAAGGTAGAAAAGGACTTCCAGGGCCAGGAGTTGGAAGATACTTCTTTGCCACATGTATTCTCTATAAATGTGCCTCACTACCATTGTACTCTAAATTTGATTACATTCTCCCCATGGCTACTGTGTATATCTGTAGTAGAGTACACGTTAGGTTTTGGGGAGAAAGACCAACTGGTCTTACTATCTCTTCTTTATAAATACCTTTTCAAAATAAGCTAATTACCTTCTAAATGGGGATCACACCAGTGGGGGCTCATGAGCAGTAGCACTCGAAACCCAAACATTCTGGATTATCCCTAGAACCCTGACAGCAGTAAGTAGACCCCAAACCAAATGTAAGTGCAGATTAGAGAAATGGCTTCAGAGAGGGTGCTACACTAGGGATTCTAAGAAGTGAGGGTAAGGAGAAGACTGGGCTTGTGCAGTCCAGTTTGGTAGCTATTGCTGTCAAGAGGGTAGGGGGAGAAGGAAATCTTTTTAAGAACTGAACTATGGAAGAAGAAGCATGTAGCCTACGTAGAAAGAGTGCCCCACATGTGTGGTGAGGGCTTGCCCCCCGCCTGTAGCATGGGGGTGTTGCTGTGTGGCTCAAAAGGAGGCTCTTTTTCTTTTCTTTTATTAGGCAATTGGGGTTAAGTGACTTGCCCAGGGTCACACAGCTAGTAAGTGTCAAGTGTTTGGTCTGAGGCCGGATTTGAACTCAAGTCCTGACTTCAGGGCCGGTGCACTGTCCACTTTGCCACCTAGCTTCCCCAAGGAAGCTCTTTTTCGACCCCCACTTTCTCCAAGAGAGATTTTAACTTTTGCAGGAAGTTAGGGCTGGAGGCTACCACTCTGTTCTCCTCGGAGAGAGGTTACTGGGCTAGAATTATATCTATCTGACCCCTTGAATGTTGTTAGTCTAAAGTATATGATCAGGTTTAATTTAATTTCTGATTGCTCTGTGTCATTATCAGGGGAGGGGAACCCAAGTTCTCTATCCAGAGCTTGACCTCTTTATTGCTGAATACCAGTTTCACAAAGAACACACTTAGTGAATAACAAAAACACCCATTTATCCAAATTGCAGTCACACAGAAATCTGAGAAGGTATACATAGGAGAATATATACTAGAGCCAGAGGTAGGGAACCTGGGGCCTCGAGGCCACCTGTGGCCCTCTAGGTCCTCAAGTCCAGCTCTTTGACTGAATCCAAACTTCAAGGCTGTACTTGAGGACCCAGAGGGCCACAGGTGGGCTCGAGGCCTCAGGTTCCCCACCCTATAACCAGACAATACAAAGTGAAGGAGCTCTCCCATTGGGAGCGAGGTAACTCAGCTCAACCAAGAGAGAGTGTCCCGGATCTCACCCATGGGAAAGCTCCCTGGTTTCTAATGTAGCAAGCTGGGGTTAGGGACATGATGGAGACTGCCAGCTCCTTCCATGTCTTCCCAGAGTCTTTTCCTTCAGCAACCTGGAGTAGGGTTGGCATCTTACATCTTCTCTCTTGAAGCTGGAAGCCAGAAATGCCCAAAATGAGTAGGAGCTGGAAGAGTCCCAAAGAAGACTGAAGAAGGCTAGAGTTCTCCTGCTCTTACCAGTTCCACGCCCACCCCTCGAGAAGGGCAGAGTATTCATCACCATCAATGAAGAGAGAGTCCTATACCAGTAGGACTTGGGACAGGGCTTCCATTCCTCCCCGGGGCCAAAACTCTACAGTTCCTTGCAAAGATCAACTTGGAACAGGTCCAAAACCTGTAAATAAATATATAGCATAAACACAGACATCAGTGCTTTAAAACAATAAGGATGATTTTTCTGGCACCCCAGGTAATCGTCTTTCAGTACCACTGAGAGTAAAATAAAACAAATGTACATGCAATAGACATAGCATTATATACAGAGCATTACCTAGGAGTATACTACAGTGACAACATGCCTCACTACATATAGGACATATAACACATGTCTATCAATAAAAAGCTAGCTGCAGCAATAACACATCAATAGTCCTATTTATAAAGTACAACTTATCTCTAAGCATTCGCATATATGTACAATTAACAACCACATTTCTATAGCATGAAAATAACACAAAACACAGTCAAATGAACATAACAACAAAATAAGAAAAACAAGCATACAGATATGTTAGATGTGAGAGGTAAAGGAAGGTAAAGGAATTCTAATTTTGGTACCTGGGAAGATGGTAGTGCTATTTCTCTGAGGAAAAGGATAATTATACTGAAGACAACATTGATGGGAAGGGGTGGAAAAGATTCATCAAGGCAGCTAAAGGAGATACTATAAGACAAATGAATAGATAGGTGAAGGGATCAGAGCCCTTAGTAGCTTACTCTTCATTGTGACCCCTACTGCCTATCCCTATTATGACCCAACCCTACCCCTTCAGGAACTACATCTCCCTCCACACGGGAATCCTGGCTTCCTAGCTCTTGGCATGTGTGAGCTGTGGGCAGGGCCCGGGGTGGGGCCAGGTAACCCCGGGACCCCCCACCATGGCTGAGCAGATGCACTCTGGCCACAGGCCTGCAAGAAATCTTGATCCTGTAGACTTGATCCTTCTACTCCTAAGCCTCATCATCCTGCTTAACCTTGGAATCAATGTGATAATTCTGGTCAGGGATGGGCCCCGGTCACAAGCTACCTTCTAGACAAGGGTGGATATTGGGAGGGTGGGAGAGAATAGCTAGGGGAGCCTGATGATTGGGAGAGAGGAGAGGAAACAGGGCAGGGATCAGGGGCCAGGGGCCTGGGTCTTTATTAAACAATAATACCCTTAGCACAATATGCTTTCACACCCATTATCCTCTTTGACCCTCGACCCCCACCACTATCCCTCAGATCTGGCGCAGTCTCACGAGGTCCCTACAGGGAACATTTGATTTCTTTCAACCTAAAGGTGAGTGTGGGGTCTGGGGAGAGACCCTGATTTCCTTCCTTTTTGTCCTCTGACACTACCAACCCTGTCACCTGCCTGCTTCCATTCTAAAAGGGACTCAGGCGTCTGGCCCTATGCCCCCATAGCCCATACAATTACTCCCCATAGGGGATCTGTGTATTCTGCTACCCAGCCCCTCCTTCCCAACTTCACTGCCCTTACCCTATTCCCAATAGGTAAGAAGCCTCAGCTTTCCATTAAGAAGCCAACAGAGGTCCCAACTCTGTGCATCCACTGCACCTTGGACCCCGTGGCTCTAAATGTGGCCCACCCTGTATCCAACCGACATCGCGCTCACCGTCAGCACTTAGGAAGTTGCCGTGGCTGGGGAAGCCAACGGGAAAGCCGCCATAGCCGCCGACACCGTGGCCGCCAACGCCATCTTCAGTACCATCACCACCCTCGATCACCTTTCCCTTCTCCTTCACCTGCAATCTCACCCACTTCCTTCTGTCACCAAGAAACCTGGGACACAGACTTAGAAGACAATAACCAACAGTCCAACTACCAGCAAAGGTGGGACACAACTTCTCATCCTGGAAACGTCAGGCATTACAGGGGATACTGGAGCAGTTATTGTCCGAGGGGACCAAATCCCTGTCCTCAAGACCTGAGGGCTCCCAAAAGGGTGGAAGCAAAGTCTGAGTTGAGACTAGAGACTTATTTTCAGGCATCTCCAAACAGCTGGCCTCAGAATCTAAAAGAGAACATGGAACCTGGCCCAATCCCCGGCTCCCCACAATTCACACACAGGTTCCCTCCCAACCCATCTTGGATGCCTGGTACCCACAACCCCGTTCCTCCAAGTGGCCAGATTTTTTATGATGGCTGGGAGCTGAGACAAAGATTCCGAGATGGGAACAAGGGGGCTGATGTCCCCAAAACTCCCCAGTCTGCACCTCGAAGCTCTGAGCCCCATAGCTATGCTGAGAACGTTGTACCCAGACAGTCTGTGCGACGTACCACAGTGCCCCTCATCTCAGCGCACATCCCTCTGAATCGGACCCACGTCTCAGCAGGACATTTGCCCTTCAGCAGCCGGGAAAGGCCAGAGATAAAACGATATGATGGAGAGCACAGAGAGCCACTGCCCCCCCGGACTTCAATGGGCTCATCCCCCTCTTTCAACAGACTCCCCAACCATGAGACAAAAAACTACTATGGCTCTACCCCAAATGAAAACCTGATACCTGAGGTCTCCCAGCCCTTGTCCTATATCTCAGTATGTGTGCCAGCCAGAGTTCCAGCCCCTGACCATGCACCTGCACCTGCCTTCATCCCCCTTAGGAGAAGCCCAGGGGGCCTCACCAACTACCACGTGTATGATAGCCAGGAGCTGAAGCGGCAAATTCAGGAAGGACATGGGCGTCGAGGTGAGGCCTTTTCCTACTCCCCTGACACACCCTGCATGGGTCCTTCCTCATCTTGGCACTCTCTACACAGAAAAAAGGCTGGGAGGCTGAATTGAAAACCTTGAGGACAGCTGATCCATGTAAGAAGAGACACTGTCAGAGATGGAGTGGGAAATAAAGAGGCCAACAGGGATTGCATGCTTCCGTCTTGGGTAGGGAAGGTTCAAAGACCCTGGCTAGGAAGTCTGGTAGGTGTTGTTCCCAAGGCCTGACTCCTCTACTCCCCTACCCCCCAGCCCACAGGTTTCCACCTCTCTAGCCAGGGTTACTAAGTCAAATGATAGGGAGGCAAGGCAGTGTTCCCTCCCAATAAGACTTAATAATTTCTTACCTGATCACCCGAACTGGCCAAGAGTGATACCCTAGGGCCCCATTACCCTTCCCTTCCTCCTTGGATTCTGTCCTCCAGAGTATCTAGAGGACCCCCATCAACTCTTTGCTCCTTCCCTCTGCCTCCACTAGCGATTGTATACATCTACTGGGGTCGTAGGAGATGGTGTTCCCAGGGCTCAGTGTTGTCTTGTAGGGAGACCTGAGGCCTACCTAGATCCTTCAAGATTAAGTTATAACAGAAACCATTAGTTTAGATGCTGACTCTGGCACTCAAACTTGGATAGGCCAACCAAAACATCTAGTACTAGTTTAAGAACTCCAGGCAGCATAGCTTAAAGAATATGTATGGGAGATCAGGTTTCTGGTCTCAGTTCTGCCCCTAGGAACTCTGTGACCTTCAGCAAGCCACTGGACCTCAATTCTCCTCACCTGTAAAATGAAGGAGTTGAACTAAATAGGGCCTCAAATCCCTTCCACCTTTGACATTCTATGTTCTGTAGTTCTATAATTGCTTATTTGAATGAATGAGTCAGCCCAGAAGCCCTGGTAGGAGCTGCTGCTTTTGGAACTAACTGCCAAGAAACAGGAGGCCCTAGGAGCCTAAAACTAAGGGAGGCCTGACGTGGGCTCCCTTTATTCATCTCCCACCCTCATTGTGACCCTTCCCATTGTGACCTGGTGCTGCCCCATCTCCTGCCACAGGAACCTCAGTTCCCAGGGTATGAGGGCAGGGCTGGGGGCTGGGGTGCCCCAGGAGGCTCTGGGACCCCCAACATGGGCAAGCAAGTCCTGCAAGTGGGCCCATGTATATCAAGACCCAACCCCAGGAAGTGCCAGGACCTGGGGGAGTCGATCCTGTTACTTCTGGGGAGCGTGATCCTGCTGAATGTTGGAATGAATGCGGTGATGCTGGTCAGGGAGGGCACAAGCCCAGCGTCTCAACCCTGTAGATATAGCAGGGGCTGAGGGGAGGTAGGGGTCAGGGAGGGGGAAGACAAGGAAATTGGGTACTGAGGGAGGCAGGATACCTGGGGTCCCTTGAGGGGAGTAGGGGGTAGAGGTGTGGATAACAAAAATGGGAACTGGAAGGCATATAGCTATTTGAGCCTGGAGGTTCAGTCACCTGGATTTACTCTTGTTCAATCTATCCTCTATCCTCTTCCTCCCTAAACCCCCAGCTCTGGTGCCATTTGAAAGCCTCCCTCCGAATATTGTTCCATCACTTTTGGAAAAAATGTGAGTGTGGGGCCTAGGGAGGCACCCTGAATTTATTCCCCTTGTCCTCTATCCTTCCCCTCCTCCCCTTTCCTACAATGACCCAAATTCCCCTTTAAAACTAAGGCTTCTCCTTCCCCACCTCCAACTTCTCCCTTCTCCCCTCTCTCAGACCAGAAACAATGCCACTCAACATGCATCTGCTGTACCATGGACCCCAAGAGCCTAACTCCCCGGGGCTCTCCCCACACCCATCAGCATCAAACCTGCCTGATGGGTCCTTCTCACAGCCCGGAATGGGCCCCAGACACAGATGATGACAAGGTCTCACAGTGCCGAAGGCTGCCGCCCCAGTGTGGCCACTCTCGAGACCCAGTGATCTCCCATGGACCATGGAGGCAGGGGAAAGGATTGATGCCCAAAGCAGGAAAGTTTTCCCATTCTCAGTCTTCTGGAGCTAGTACCACCCCACTGCTTCACCATGAGACCTTTTTCTACCTTGGCCAAAAGCCTCAAAGCTCAAGGAACAGTGAGGATGCAGAGTCCCAATCTGCCAGAGATATTCAGAAGCCAAGCCAGGTTTTCCTCTCTCCCCTCCCTATTCTTCATCCCCAAGATGCCCATGTGGTATATGATGCCAGGAAGATGAAAGGCCCAAATTGCCAGGTGGGAGGATTTGTGGAAGCTTTGTCCCTTTCCACACGGAAAGGCTCCCTACAAGAGCTCAGTGAAAGGGGCCAAAATCTCATCTCCCAGACCCTGGAGAGGCCCTCCAATCTGCCCACTTTCCCTGTTGACCACTCTGTGGAGTATATAGAGTATAAGAAGCAGACAGTCAGCTTTCCTGAAGGAAGGAACCAGGGCACGCTCTCCTGCAAATCCAAGTCCCACACTGATAAAGGTCATTCTGAAAGGAAGATGCTACTTCCCCCAAATTCTGTCTGTTTACAGCCATCTGACTACCCCACTTGTCCCAGCAGTAGTTCTACCCCTTCCCAGTCACCCTGTCCTTCTGAAATCCCGTTACCTGACCAGATTGCATTGCACCAACAGCAGCCTTCAAAGGTTCTTATAGAACCTCTCGAAGTTTCAAAGGGTGAGATGGCTTGTGGTATACAGAAACTACCAGAGGTCTCCACTTTCACTCAGACCCATTACCCCCAAGGATGGAATCAAAATTGGGTGTACAAGTCTCTGGAAATGTCCACGCAGAATCGGCCATCCTTCCATCAGATGCCTCCAAGCAAGGGATCTGGTTTGGAGACAGGTCATGTGGTCTTTGATGCCAGGCAGCTCAGACTAAACAAGGAATATGCCAGAGACTATGCCCTCAGGACCTCCTGTGGCCCTAAAACCCTCTCTGACTGTCCCAGGGAAAGGCAGAGGGAAGACTTGGAATACTGGTCCATGACAAAGACTTGGGGGAAAGCTCGGCAATAAAGGGACAGGTATAAAAAGGAAAAAGAATTGCATGGTGGTATTCAGGGTCCAGTCCAGTCCCAAACCTGATTAGTCTCTATGGTCACAGGGAAGAGTCCAGACCAGATCTCCGAGGTAACTTACCCTTTCTTACCGCCATTATATTTAGATCCTCTTAGGCAGCCAAAAGGCCTCTAGAACCTCTAGAACTCTATGGGGGGGGGAGGTGGCAGAGAGATGGAAGACACAGGATTGACAGGATTTGCAGCTGGAAGAGACTTATTGATCAATTTGGTCCAACTTTCTGATTTTAATGAAGAAACTGCGGCTCAATGACTGCCCAAGGTCACCCATGTAAGTAAGTGGCAGAGCCAAGATTTCAAAGTGGTTCTTACTAATCTTAAATCCAGATCAATTGGGTTGGACTACAAAGCCACTGAGGTCCCTTCCAGCTCTCAAATTCTGTGATTGTATGAAATGCAATGCTCTTTCAACTGCATAGATTATCCTCCGAGAAGGCCCCGTGAATCTTGAGGTCTGAGGATTGCTCTACCATAACAATACAGCCCACAGACCACCATAAATCTGGATACTATCAGTCTTCAGTTCTAGCCCCCTCACTTGCCAAGACTTCCTCTCCTCTTTCCCAATTCTGGGCTTGGTAGCTTTGTCTGAGGCAGGATCCTTCAGCTGCCATCCACGTTTCCCTTAGGGGCTCCAGCTTAGCTGTGAGGCTGAGACAGGAGAAAGGTGCTTCCCCAGAAATGATACTGGGCCTTGTTCGAGGTCAGCTAGGTGGTTCAGTGGGTTGGGAGTCAGTAAGACCTAAGTGCAAATCTGGCCTCAGATATTTATTAGCTGTGTGGCCATGGGCAAGTCACTTGACCTCTGTCTCAGTTTCCTCAATTTGTAAAATGGGGATAATAACCTACCTCACAGGGCTGTTGGGAGAGTCAAATGAGCTACTGTTTGTAAAGCACTCAGCACAGTACCTGGCCCTTAGTAGGTACTTAATAAGTGATTGTTCCCTTCCCCCTTCCTCTAGAACAGCAGAGTGTGTACCTGGATACTTAGACCCACAACATAAGCCTTTTTAACTCTGACTGAAGTGCCTATTTAATCTTCAGCAGCAGCCTCTTCCCCCATAAAACATAGTGCAAAAATCCCCGGATCCTGGAATCAGAAGGACCTGAGTCAAAATCCAACCTCTTTGTTCAACTTTGGGCAAGTCACTTTCCCTACTTGTAAAAGGAGAGGTAGATTATGGTCTCCTTTGTCTTTTCTAATTATAAATCCTATGATCCATATTATAGAACCAAATCTGGCCTTAGCCGGAGGGTTCGCTCTAAGCTGGCAATGTCTGGCTCAGAATCTGGAGTCCCTGCAGTCTGAAAGGAGAGGCGAATCAAGTGCTGCTCCTTGTCAATCAGTCATTTATTAAGTACCAGGCACTCCGCTAAGTGCTAGGAATGCAAAGAAAGGCAAAACAGTCCTTACCATCCAGAAGCATGCATTCTAGTGGGGAGAAAACACAAAAATAACTAAGTACATACAAGATAGGTTTACAGAGGGGTTCTGAAAGCACCAACAGCTGGGGCACCCCCACCCCCACCACAGAAGTGAGGTGAGATTTGAGTGGTCTTGAAAATGACAGTGATTTTCCTTTGTTGGGATTCCCTTCATCTTGTCCTTGTTCTCCCATTTGCTGAGTCCTGCCATCATCCTCCTATTTCCTCAGTGCCTGGGAGCTTACCCCTTACAAGCCTTGCCTCTTAAATGTGATGCTAATTTGAACTGTTCATTTAGACTTCTGCTCATCTGTGGTGAACATCGATTCCCGCTTCAATAATATAGTGCCCGGTTCCCCCCCCCCCCCCCGCCCCATTAATGTCCTAGTCTTGGAGCCCTGAACTCTGGCTGACCTCATCCTCTCCTCTGGGCATATTATGGTCCTGACCTTTCCTATCTGGTCTAATACAGCCTCTAACCCAAGCCCTGGTTATTTTAACAAACACTTGCCTTTTTGTCAAAGCACTTGGAGTTTAAAGGGACCCATTTTGGGGGATTTCTAGTGTGGCAATTTTCTCTTATCAATACAGAAAGGCAACTTTCTGTAACTTAAACTCTTGGAAAATTGCTTGGGGCACTCAGAAGTTAAGAGACCATGACCACACAGTTCAAGAAGGACTTGAACCTGACTCTAGGTTTGGCCCTCTAGATCCACTAAGCTCGGCTGTTGCTATAATAAGGTTTAGAGATTCATTCAGATCCTTCATTTTACAGACAGGGAAACTAAGGCTCAGAGTAGTTAAGAGATTTGCCCAGGTTTGTAATGCAGAATATTATTTTACCATTTAGGTAGTAGGGCCCTTTAAGTCATGGAAAGCAGAAATTACTGCTTAATCTTGCCCCAGACCTCTTTCCTCCTAAATCTAAACAATAGTGAAATGTACTCTTGCATAGCTCAGCATAGCCGTACCTCCAACGCAAATGGATAAGAAAGCTTGCAATATAATTGCTTTAGATAATTATGTTTATACCAGAGACCAGGACACCTGGTCTGGTTTGTGTGATCTCTGATCCATAATAATGGGGTGCTCGGGTGCTTGTGCTTGTACTTGTGCCCCAACTTCTCTCAGAAACACTGTCTCTAACAACCACTCCCCAGCCCAAGGACACTGTGCCTAGCGGTTATTCATGCACGGCCTCAGCATGACCCTTATCTCTCTCCCTGGTACAGCTACACAGAGCTGGGCTGCTCAGGCCCCAGCCCTCAGATCATGTCTCTGGAAGCCTTCCAATTCCTTAGTAAGTTCCTGGGTTGTAAGAAAGCTTTCCCTTGTTGCAGAGCATTCTTTCATCAAGACAGAGAGAGAGGGGTGTCCTTAGCCAGCCCAAGGACTCTTCCTCTTGCCAGACTCCAAAGATCCATCCCCCTCCCTGTCCGGTATACTCCCTGTACTTTCCCATCCATAGCCCCCAAAGACACCTGCACCTTTGGATTACCTCATCGGTGTTCCTGGCATTTCTTTCCCATGCTCTTTTCCATATAAACCCTAGCTCGACCCCTGATCGGGGCTGCTTGATTTGGGTGTGCATACCCCTCGCAGCCGCGCACTAATAAATCCACATTTTAAATTACGTCTGCATCTTGCTCACTGATTTCTCGGTACAACAGGTTCACTTAGTCTTCCTAGATCTGACCATGATTATAATGGAGAAACCAGGGGCTCAGCTGTCAGTAACATCTTAAAAACTGTAAAAAATGGGAGAGGTGCAGGAATAGAGAAGGGCACATGTCCTGATGGAGAGATCTGACCTAGGTAGTTCTACACAACTAGATAGATTCAATGCTGGTTCAAGGACCAGACTCTGTCATTAATAGTTTCTATATCATTTTAGCAGCAAGTTCTCAGTGGAGTACTCCAGAGAACCATGCTTGGCCATGTTCTGTTTTATATTTTTTTCAGTGCCTTTGATACGTGCTTGTTCACCAGATTTGTAGAAGACATAGATCTGAGAGGGTTATACACTGAATGATAGTCAAGGCTCTTGATAGGCTTGAGCCTTGGGTTCAGTCTAATAATGATAAATATAAAGTCTTACATTTGAATTCAAACCCTAACCAACTTCATAAGAACAAGCAGTTTGTCAGAAAAAATTTGGACATAAGATTTAGTGAATTCTAAGATCCCTCATTATGGGATGTGCGGACCCTAGTGGATTGTAAGATATGAGTATGATAAATTAGCCCAAAACAATCCTGTAGTCTTTGGGTTCATTAAGACATAGCTTTCAGGAATAAAGAAAGGATAGCTCCTCTGTATTCTGCCCTGGTCAGGCCTTCAAATGGCCTATTGTGTTCAGTTCAGGTTGCCCTAGTTCAGGAAAGACACTGATGAGCTAGAGGGAATTAGGGGCAACTGGGTGGCACAGTGGATAGAACACAAGATTTGTGGATAAACATGATTTGAAATATCGCTGAAGACACTTACTAGCTGTGTGTGACCCAGGCCAAATCACTTAACCTCCTGTCTTCCTCAGTTTTCTCACCTGCATAATGAGGATACAAATAGCTACCTCTCAAATTGTTAAAATAACCTACCTCCCAGGATTGTTGTGAGGACAAAATGTAAAAGTGTAAAGTGCTTTGCAGAACTTAAAGCATTATGTGAATGATATTGTTGTAATAAGCTTATTATTATAATGGTCCAAAAGAGGGCGACCAAGAGGGTGAAGGATACTTTGAGCTCATGACCAGCCAAAGGAATTGGGGATGTTTCGACTTAGCAAGGACTTGACAGCTTTCTTCAAGTATTTTAAGATTATCATGTCGAAGACAGATTAGACTTGTTTTATTTGGCCCTAGAAGGCAGAATCAAGATCAGTGGACGGAAGTTTCAAAGGTACTTTTTAGGCTTGAAGTCAGAAAATAAAACTTTCCTAATTGTTAAATCATTTCAGATCTTTGTGACCCCTTTTTGTTTGTTTTCGATTTTGGTGAGGCAATCAGGGTTAAGTGACTTGCCCCAAATTTGAACTCAGGTCCTCCTGACTCCAAGACCAGAACTTTATCCACTGCTCCACAAGCTGCCCCTTGTGACCCCTTTTAGGCCTGTTTTGTTTTGTTTTGGCAGAGATACTAGAGTGGTTTGCCATTTCCTTCTCCAGCTCATTTTACAGATGAGGAAACTGAGGCAAACAGGTTTAAGTAACTTGCCCACGGTTACACAAGTGTCTGAGGTCGAATTTGAACTGGAGTCTTCCTGACACCAGCCTGGAATTCTATCCACTGCCATACTTAGCTGCCCCTCCTAATTAATTAGAGCAGTCTAAAAGTGAAATGGACTACCTGGACTACTTCCTCATAAGCAGAATCTTTAAGATTACCACTTGTCCAGTAGTTTTACAGTGAGAATTCCTTTGGAGGTTAGAGTGGGTCTTGATGGCTGCTGAAGTCCCTCGAATGTCTATAAAATTCAGTTTATCAGTCTGGTATGCTCCACCCCTACCCTGACCAGACAGTAGGGCGCAGCAGAGTACCAGCTAGCCTGTAAAGACAACTCCCAGACAAGGCTTGGATACACAGAAACTAAACTATATTTTCTTGCATGCCCCCTTTCCTCCCTACCAAGTGAATCCTGAACACCGTATTTACTGGAAAGGGCTGGAAGAGTGGGAGGGAGAGACGACGAGAGAGACTTCAATTTCCAGCCCGATTCAGAAGCCTCTCTGGAGCCTGGAGCTAGGGAAAAGGAACCAAGGCAAAGGGGTGGGGCCAGAACTTTCCGAGTTTAGAGTCTAGGCAGAGAGGGGTGTTTCCTCAGGTAAAAGGGGCGTGCCCTGGTGGAGAGAAGGAAGTTACCCGCAGGATTTTCTCCGAAGCTTTCTCCCGTTTTCTTTCCCCTCCCTGCGGTCGCCTGAGGTCCTTTGCCATCATCCCCCCACCACACCCCCAAATAGCAGGTAAGGGAAGGGAACACTAGGGGCTGATAAAGAGATGTTTCTGGCACCCAGAACTAGACAGTAGGGATAGGACTGGACTGCTATTGAGTCCAGGGCTGAACTTGGGCGGGGGGGGGGGAGGAAGGTAGGAGAGACAGCTCTTTTTTTTTTTAACCACCTGTCAGGTCTAACTGGTACTAATTGGTAGGGAGCTCGCATGTTTGGGGTGGGGGGGAGGATGTGGGAACACACCTTGAGGGAAGAGGTGGAAACTGAAGAATATTTGGGCATTTTCCATTTAAACAAACAAGACCTCCTTAGCCGCCCTAGAATACAGGGTAGCCTGGGGAAGGAATGGATGGTCCTAGCCCGAGTCAGAAGAATGAATTGAGCCCCATTTTCCCTTTCTCCCCGCCGTGTCCATAGCCTCAGCCCCGACATGGCTTCCGCAGTCTGGAGGGGTACCCCCTGGTGGGGTCCGCCACCCCCAGCCCCTGCCCGTCCCCTCACGGACCTCGACTTCTGCTCCGGAGCGCAGCTGCAGGAGCTGACTCAACTGATCCAAGAGCTGGGGGTTCAAGAGAGCTGGCACGGCGGGCCAAAGCCCGGGGCCGACCTCCTCCGGGCTAAGGACTTTGTCTTCTCTCTGCTCAGTAAGTGTGTCACCTTTGGTCCCTCCTGTCCTCTCTGCAGTGCCCCCATGCGAGTTCTCAACTGCCCCATAGAGAGTCTCGACTGACCCCCTCCCCTTATCCTCAGGTCTCATCCACCGACGGGACCCCCGTGTCCCTGGGCAAACCGAGCTTCTGCTCCTGCGCGGTGGAGTCCGCGAGGGCTCTCTAGATCTGGGGCCTGGACCCCTGGGTCCCTACGTCCGGGGGCCCCACTACGACGCCGGCTTCACGCTCCTGGTGCCCTTGCTCTGGCTGGACTGTGAGGGGGTAAGGCCCGACTTCGAGCTGGAGTCTGGCAGCGCATGGCTCCGCCTCCAAGAGCGAGTGGGCGGGGCCTCGGCCCTGGAGGCTTGGTGCGACTGCCTAGGGCCCTCCGCCCGGGCAGGGCCGGATGGGAAGGAGGCAGTAAAAGAGGCGTGCCCATTGGAGAAGCCTCCGTGTGACGTCACGGGGCCCGAGTCTGCGGAGACGTCCCGGCGCGAGCTGGTCGAGTCCGACCCCAAGTCGCCATCGCCCGCGGAAGAGCGGCGCGGCTTGAGGGATTCGGAAGAGCGAGGCTTATTGAAGGAACCGCACAGTGACGTCACAGAGCAACTGCCTGGACAGCCAGTCCCAGAGCCTGAGGGGCGGGGCCCTCAGGAAAACTGGCCCGTTTTGTGCCCCACCCAAGTGGCTGCCTGGTTTTTTTCCTCGCTATCTGCTGTAGCTGTCTCCTTGACCCCGGACCCCGGCGCCGTGCGCCTGGTCCATGCTGCCCGCCATGCCGGAGTCACTACCATCCTTCTATCCACCCCAGGCCCTCCCCCCCGCCTCCTGCTCTTTGACTTGGTGCCAGGGGTCTCCGTTGCCGGCTGGCCCGAGGGAACCCGGACCCACGCCTGGATGGGTCCCGTGGCCGCCGGGCCTACCGCCTGCTATCTCGTGCCGGGCTACCGAGCCAAAAAGGAGGATGGGCTGTGCTGGCGGATTTGCTTTTGCCCGCCAGGAGCTGGCGCTCAAGGCCCGCATCCCCCAACCTCTGCTCCAGGCCCACGCCGCCGCCCAGGCCTTACTACGCCCCCTGGTGGCCGGGGCCGGCTGCGCGGCTCCCTACCTCCTGCGGACCCTGCTCTACTGGGCCTGCGAGCGACTCCCAGCCCTCTATTTGGGGCGGCCCGAGAACGCCGGGGCTTGTTGCCTCGGGCTGCTGGACGAGTTAAGCCGCGGCCTCGAGGCTGGGGGTCTGCCTGACTACTTCCTGGAAGGGCGGGAGCTGGCGGCCGGGGAGGGGGCTACGGAGCTGGCCGGGGCTCTCGCCCGACTCCGGGGGGACCCTGTAGGGGCTCTCAGAACTGCAGTGGAGGAGGCCAAGACTGCGCGGAAGGGGGGCGGGGTCATAGGCGGGGGTCATTAAAATTTGTGCCTGGAAGGAGACAGAAGAATTTTAATTCTTTTTTTCCCCCCCAACCTCCTTTATTCCCGCCTCTCCCCAACCGGTGACATAACTCGTTCTGGGAGACCTAGCCCTCGAACTTTCTGATGCTGCTGGTTGTCTTGGTCCTGACCCTGAAAAAAAAAAATGTTTATCTTGTCCTCACCACCGCCACCCTCTCCCCAAAATGCACACATCTCTCATCAAGACCCTGACCCAGAGACTCCTCATTTCTTCCTTTTCTATTCTTGCCCCTCTCACAACCCCTCTTGGAATTCCTCCTGTGTGTGACCCTAGGTGGGAGCCAAGTAAAGGGGTGAAGGGGATATGCTGACACAGCATGAGAGGATGATAAGATGGAGCCTGGCCAATTTGGTCAGATTGGAAATATTAGAAAACAGCTACCTCCTCCTGGCAATGGATCCCTTCCCCATCTCTCTCTCTCTCTCTCTCTCTCTCTCTCTCTCTCTCTCTCTCTCTCTCTCTCTCTCTCTCTCTCTTCTCTCTTCTCTCTTCTCTCTTCTCTCTTCTCTCTCTCTCTCTCTCTCTCTCTCTCTCTCTCTCTCTCTCTCTCTCTCTCTCTCTCTCTCTCTCTCTCTCTCTCTCTCTCTCTCTCTCACACACACACACACACACACACACACCCACCCACCCCAGTACCTAAAAACCTCCTCTATCTTCAGCCACAGTTCAATTTCTTCTCCAGCACTCAGCTAGCCCCTCCCCCTTTTCTCATGCATTTTCTAGACTTTTGTCGCCCAGAGTTAAGCTGTGCACCTTGTTCCCCCTCCTGGGAGTCATGACTCGCCTACCACCACCGGCTTGTGTGTTCCCTCCCTATATCCCCAGCCACTTCCATTTCCAGGTTCTCTAACAGATCCAGGAGTCCCTTTCCACCGTCCTCTTTTTGATGCTGTCTCCGCCCCCTGCCCCGCCCTCGGATTGGGTTCTTGGGCTGAGGTGGGGGAGCAGGACGCGAGTTTGCGGCTGCTGCGACGGCTGCCGTTACTGCTTCTGCTGCCTGGGCTTGCTTTCCAGTCAGTCCTGCTGCTGAGGCCTGGAGCGCCGCCATCGGGGGACTGGGGACGCCCTGTGAACCCACCCCTATTTCCCTGGGCGGGGAGGGATAGAGAGCGCCAAGGTGGACCGCGCGGGGAACCCTCTGCTGACAGGGGGACAGTGAGGGAGGAGAATATGAGAGCCTGAGCCATCCATCACTGCCGGCAGCAGGATCAACAGGACAGGTTTGGGGGGTCTCAGGAAAGAAATTGGGGTGCAAGCAATCGCTAAGGAACGTTGGACGGGGACCCTGGGGAGCGCAGAAACGCATGGGGAAAGTACAGGAGGCAGGCTAATTTGGGGAGTACCAGGGAGAAAGTGGGGTGCAACACTTTGGAGTAGCTAGCTGGAGGTCAAATAGCTAGAAGACTGCACCGAGACTCCCCGATAACATTTTGTGGGATACCTAGAGTGAAGTTAAAGATTCATTGTTTTGGGGTGACAGGATGTAAGAAGGGATCTTCCATACCCACTGCACCTTGATAACCCCTAAGTTGCTGGAGCTAGAAGGGCATATATGGAAGCGCCAGGGAAGAAGTAGAGGTAAGGATAAGTTTAGAGGATACCTGGTCACTAGAAACTAGGGCCTCTAGGGATTTGAGGAGGTAGAGTGTTGACTTGCTGAAAAGAGGAGGCATAAGCCAAGTTTATGGTTGATTTGGAAAGAAGTTCAGGACCCTGGCAAATGGAACGTCCCAGGAGTTCTGGGATATAGGTTTTGAGAAGGATGGAAAGAGGTAGGAGATACATTCCAATCTGGGGACTAAAGGGTGGCAAAGAAGACCCCAATTCCCTTTAACCTTCTCACAGCTGCTGCACCAAGTGTTGCTGCGGTGGGTGATTTGGAGATGTAGCCCTGTTTCCTTCTCACCCTTTTAGATTTCTTGAGCTGACAGGGAGGAGTTGTGAGATTCATTTCTGTCATCTCCCACAGCCAGTTAGGGTCTACAAAGTCTGGTCAGCCGAGATTATATGGAGAGGTGCAGAAAAACGGGAGCCTTGGAGTTACATCGATTTAGGGCCAGGACAGTGAAGGAAAGGAGAGAAAATTTGGGGCTACGAGGAAGGGAAACCCAGAGAATTGGCGGCAAGAGCTGGGGATTCACAAAGCTTGAACCAAGTAAGAGTTGAAGGATTCCCATCAAGTTTAGGGGTGACAGGGGGAGAGGGCAGTTGAAGGGACCCTTTTGAAGTACTTAGGGGGGAGGGTTTAATTGGGATACTACTTCACGGTGAAGAATCCAGGAACACAAAGGAGAGTATCTGGGATAAATTTGGGGGTACCACCCTATTTGAGAGATTGGAGGGTGCCTTCCTGGATGAAGGGAAGGATTTAGCTTTCATCCTTGAACTATCTGCCAGTTTGCAGTGTTTTTCAATTGGGGGTGGGGGGCATTCTGGGAGCCAGATTGAGATTGAGGATTGTGTCCTATTGAGGTGCCTCCATACAACTTGGGTTGTATACCTCCGTTGTGAGAGTGGCGGAGTTAGGGGACGTCGTAGGGAAATTCGACTGTCCCCTAAAGGGAGGGAAGGTGGTTGGAGATGGCGGCGCTGGCCAGCAGCCTGATCAGGCAGAAGAGAGAGGTTCGAGACCCTGGGACGAGCCGACCGGTGTCAGCCCAACGGCGAGTGTGCCCGAGGGGTACTAAGTCCTTGTGTCAGAAGCAGATACTGATTCTGCTCTCCAAGGTCCGCCTGTGTGGGGGGCGACGGACACGGCCGGACAGGGCCCCCGGTGAGTGATAACAGTTGGGGTTCTGGGCTCCTGAGTAGGTTGAAGTGGGAGCTAGATTAAAGGAGAAATCTCAGGGATGGAAAAAAGAATACCTGGGTCCCCCAAGGAGAGTAGCGGGAGAGAAGAGCCAGAGAAGGCTGGACGAAAATACTTTAGAGGGCTGAGCTGAGGGTTGGATAAGATAGATGAAAACTCCTTAATGAGAGTTGGGCAATGGGGAGACTAGAAGTTCAGCTACTCTCCCTTTCTGCTGCTCCTCAGTTTCCTTTCTCCGTTCCCGCATAATCCTGAGCCTCTTTCTCTTCTAAAGCTAGGGGAAATGTCAGGGGTTTTAACGGAGTTTAACTAACACCCGCCCCTCTCAGGAACCCAAGCATCCTGTTTCCCCACCCACCCCCTCCCAGCATTGCCAGGCTACGTGCATTTCTTCCTGTCCTTTTGCTGCTCTGCTTCAAGCCCGAACTGAGACTACCGAGGATTCGGAATGCCTGGGTCACACAACCTAGTTTCTTCGATTCTGCGAAGTCCTTTTCTCTTTCCTCCCAGTTAAGCTGGTTACCCCATCCCCATTCCTCTGCTCTTCTGTTACCCCAATCTCTAGCTTGGGGGGTTTCTTGTTTAACCTCACCTGGCTCTGAGACAACCTTCCCTAACTCTCCCTAGGGTGTCCTTGCAGATCAGCTCCTCCCCCACCCCTACCTCCCTGCTTCCTCCCCCCGCACCCCACTCTGCTCTCCCTGCCCGATCCCAGAACTCTACTGTGTCCTCCCTCTTTCCCCTCCTTCACTCCCAGGGAACCGAACAAGGAATGTCCTCTGGATTCTCCTCCCCAATTTTTTTCACACCCCCCTCCAAGTCCTGCTTCCTCCAAGAACACAAAGCCCTGGCACCCGCTGGACTGGCTTCCCCTCCCCACAGGAACCCAGGCGTTCAGAAAAGATTCTGGGGGACTAGGGGAATGAAGAGGCGGGGGGGGGGAGAGAGTGGTAGGGGGGACGGGGACAGGAAAGACTGATTGGGACTGTACCACCCGCAGAAGGGCAGGAGGTAATACACGAAATTCCCCTTGGGGAATTATACTGTGAAAAGGGAGAGGAAGAGACGACCATCTCGAAAAAAGGGGCGCTGTCCCTGTCCTCCCTTCCCCACTTTTCCCAAATTGATTAGGAAGTGAGAGTCTCAATAACCCCTACCCCAAGTTCTCGTTGAATGATTCCTCTACCCACCCACTCTGTCTTTTTCTGTGGTACAGTCCAGAGCCCACCCTTTGGAAATGTCCCTTTGCCCTTCTGTTCCACACCCCTCTAGCCCTTACACACGTACACACAATTACACTCGGCCCTTCACTTACACTCATCTTTTGTATGCGCCACTACAATCCTCCCTCCCCAGCTTGGAAGTCCGGGGTCCCTAATGCTAATGAGGACTGGAGAAGAGGAATCGGCTGGAGCCCCCAGATTCCTGGTTTCTCAGGAAGACAGGCTTGTGGCAGTCTGATTAGTGGCACAGATGACCAGGCAGACGGCAGAGGCCCAAGCCAGGCTGGGCAGCATCAGGTGCTGAGTCAGCAAGCTTGATTCCAGCAGAGTCAGCTCCCTCCCCCCATAGCTTGAGTAGCCCCCTTCCCCCAACGTCCAACCTGAGATTACCCACCACAAAAACTATAGTGTTTCTGACTGCCTTTGTCACTGTCTTTTCCCCTTATCATAACTCCTTCCCTTCCCCCTCCAACTCAGCTATTGAGCAGGAACTAAACTATTTAAATAAATTTCAACAAATTAAACTGAGAGCTAATGGTGGGGGCAGGGACAGGGTGCAGACTTCCCCAGGAGACAGAAAGGCCAAAGCTAGAGGGTTTCAAGCAGTGAGTCAGTGAAAGAGCAGTAGATCTTAGTTCTCCCTAACTACTTTCCCCACTTCCCTCACCCCCTCCTATTTCTAGGATCAAACTTGGAAAGATAAATCTTCACCAAAGATTAATGTCAAGTTCTTCCTGTCTCTCTCTCCCCTTAGAGCCCCAGCTCAAAGGCATCATCACAAAGCTTTTCTGCCGTCAGGGTTTCTATCTCCAGGCCAATCCAGATGGGAGCATCAATGGCACACAAGAGGATACCAGCTCCTTCAGTGAGAGAAGGGAATTTTTGGGGTGTGGGGAGTTAGAGAGGAGAGAAGAAGTGGATATCAGATGCTTAGGGCTTCTTTTCTCTTACTGTACCCTTATGCCTAAGGCAACTGAAGGAATAGCTTATCTATTTCCTATCCACCCTGTTACTTTCCCATCCTATTTTAGTCTCTGTTTCTATCTGTCATTGACATCCAGGAGTGGGGATGGGCCAGAGTCAGAGTGGCTGTCCCTGGAGTGGAGCTGATGGTAGGGTGAACTGATGGTAGGCTCAGAGTTTTGTTGGGTTGTTTTGGGTTTTTTTTTTTTGAGGGGATGGGCATGAGGCATCTGAATTCTATATACTTAAGGATTAAGGCCAGGGGTTGGATCCCTTGCATCTCTAACTCTCACTCTACCCTCCAGCTCAGTTTAACTTGATCCCTGTGGGTCTCCGTGTGGTCACTATCCAGAGCACCAAGCTGGGGCACTATGTAGCCATGAATGCAGAGGGGCTACTCTACAGCTCGGTGAGACTCCTCTCCTCATTTTCCTCTGTCCTGGGACCCTCCTTCCTCCCACCCCACTCCCTGGCACTTTCCCTGTTGATCCCACATTTGACCCTCTTCTCAATCCTGTTACACACACTCTACAACAGAGTCATCAATCTCAAAATAATTTCCCTCTCTGAATTCCTTAAATTTTTTCTACAATTTCTCTCTCCTCAGTAACCTTTCAATACCCTCATCATATCCCCTCACTACACAAGAGACTATTGAGGGAGATTCCTTCCAAATCCCTTTATAGCCTCTGCAAGGGATACCCTCACAACCTCACAACCACATGCCTAGAACCCCTTATGGCTTCTCTCTTTTGAGTACCCCCCTATATCCCCAGATTTAATAATGACCAGGAGAGCCAGGCAGGGCATGTGGAAAGAAAGACCTGAGTTCTTCCATAGCTCTGCCAGTTATGCATTCTTTGACCAAATCATTTTCACACTCTGAGACTGAAGAGTGAGGAGGGAAGAGATTGAGGACTAGGGAAATTAATTGATTTGCCCAAGGATATCTGAGTCTGTTTACTTCCTGTCCCCTCCCTCTAGCTTAGAGCCCAAATCCACTGGAGTAAGGAGTTGTCAAACTTTTTGCTTCCACTTTATACTCTTAAAAAGTACTGAATAATCGAAAGTTTTTGTTTATGTGGGTTATGTCAATCAATATTTAACATATTAGAAATTAAAACATAAGTTTTAAAAAATATGTATTAGTTCAGTTAAAATAACAATACTAAACTCAGTACGTGTTATACCATGTCAGGGCAGCTAGGTGGTTCTTCGGATAGAGCACTGGGCCTGGCGTCAGGAGGACTGAATTAAAATCTGGCCTCAGATACTTACTAGCTGTGTCACCCTGGGCAAGTCACTTCACCCTGTTTGCTTCAGTTTTCTCATCTGTAAAATGAGCTGGAGAAAGAAATGGCAAACCACTTCAATATCTTTGCCAAGAAAACCCCAAATGGGGTCACAAAGAGTCAGATATGACTGAATAACAACAAAAACATGTTAACCAACATAAATAAGATATTTTATGAAAATAACTATTTTCCAAAATATAAAAATTTTAGTGAGAAAAGTGGCATTATTTTGCATGTTTTTGTGCTTTTTTTCCTTTTTGGTCTTGGCAGTGGAGTTAAGTGACTTGCCCAGGGTCACATAGCTAGTAAGTGTTATATGTCTGAGGCTGGATTTGAACTCATGTCCTCCTGACTCCGGGGCCAGTGCTCTATCCACTAGGCCATCTAGCTGCCCCCTACTTTGCATGTTTTTGCAAATTTCTTTAATGTCTGGCTTAATAGACCAGCTAGATTTTCACATATACTTCTGTATTCAATCTACTGTGATATGTTTTTTGGTTAAAGTATATAAAAACAGTATGATCTCACACAGATATGTAGTTGAAAAATCAGGGAGTATTTTAATAGGCAAATAATTTATTATTATTATTATTACAAAAATAGTTTGGACTTTGAGGTCCCTTTCCCCATTGGGGTACTCTCAAGGATCTACTGACCACACTTTGAGAACTGCTAGACTGGAAGAAAAGGAAGGGAGGGAGAGAGAGGGAGATGGGAGGCAGGTTGGAGAATTAGATACAGGAATACACAGAAATCCAGCCCCAAACCCATAGGCATCTGGGCTCCCAGAACTCATCTTTATTTCCTTCCCTCACCACTCAGAGGATTTTGGTCCCAAACTGTAGATTTTATGTATCATTTCGTAAGGAAGGGTGGGGCCCAAGACTGAGAAACATCAGCCTCCTGGCCATTAATATCAATTTCTCTTTCTTCCTCCCTGCCTTTGTTTTCTCTTTATGTGACCTCATCCTCAAGCCACACTTTACAGCAGAGTGTCGCTTTAAGGAGTGCGTCTTTGAGAATTATTATGTCCTTTACGCCTCTGCCCTCTACCGCCAGCGTCGTTCAGGCCGAGCCTGGTATTTGGGTTTGGACAAGGAGGGCCATGTCATGAAGGGAAATAGAGTCAAGAAGACGAAAGCAGCTGCCCATTTTGTGCCTAAGCTCCTCGAAGGTGTGAACATCCTCAGGGATGGGAGGGTCTGTCATGTCAAGTACATTTCCGTCACCACAGAAAGGATTCTATCTACCTTCAGATCCTATGAGGGTCATATATCAAATATCTCAAACTAGGTCATAACAAAGGGAAGTCTTATAACAGGGAGGAATGAGGAGTGGGGAGATTTCTGCCCTTAGTCGCTGTGTATGGCAACACTTCTGCTTTTGTTTGTTTCTTCCAGTGAAGACATTTTGTATTGTGACAGAAAAGTTGTATAGTGATAAGAGAGAGACAGACAGAGACAGAGACAGAGACAGAGACAGACCCTGTTGGAGCTGGAGGTTTTGGTCTTGAAATACTGAATGTTTGTAAAATAGGGTATGTGAGGTGAGGGGGGGAGGGGTTGAACTAGATTATCTCAGAATTCGAAATGCTCTGTCCAGGGCCCACCTGGAGGGAGGAGGGGAGGTAGTATTTCAGGTCAACAGTAGCAACACCGAAAGAAGGCAACCAAGCATTAACACAGTGACAGCTCCTTTATAGAACCATAAAATTATAGGTTTTAGAACTACAAGGGTCCTTAAAGATCATTTAGTCCATCATTTTGGCCAAGAAAGGCTATGGTCATATCTTCATATTGCTCCACTGCTTATTTCTGTGTTTCTTGATCCCTGACTGTTTCCCTTTCTCTGTTCCATCCTCCTCACAGTGGCCATGTACCGGGAGCCTTCCCTGCACAACGTACCTGAAACATCTCCTACGAATGACAAGCCTCCAGCCTCTTTGCCCCCTAAAACATAATCCTGTTGTCTGGGAGTGTCCTTCAAGTCTTTCATCAAGACAGCCATACAGATCCCAGACTGAGCCAGTCATTCTGGTCTCTCATCTTGTTCCATTCCTTCCTTGCCACTCCCCTGCCACAAGCCATAAATTCCTGACTTAGAATATTTCTTTTGACCTTCCTTGGGCAATTTAGGAGGACTACAAAAGTGGTAGCCATTACAACAATTACCCAAAAGATTAAGGGTGGTCTGTGACTCTTGGGCTATTGCTGCAAAACCTAAATCCTAGTAAGATCTGCTCTTTGGTAATTTTCTATATTAAAGGACCCTTACAGGGGATCTGGAAACATTGCTATATACCATTAAGGGGGCTGTCTAATCACTGTATTTTTTCCTTTTCTGCACAAGCTCTCAGAAAATTTCCTGAGAGACAAAGCTGTAGGTTCTAAATAAGGATAGACAAAGCCTGGTTTCTAGGTTCCTTTGCCATTCTTCTACCTAACCACAAAGCCATGGTCAACTAGAGAACAGCCCCTTCTCTTTTGCTTAAACCCCTCAGCCTTCTGACTGTTCTGTTCTGTTCTGTCCTGTCCTGTTCTGAAATCTGGATCCTACCCAGAGTCAATTTGGCATCAAAATCTTCTGTATTATAGTAGAGTCATATTGCTAACTTCTGTTCTGGGTCATTGAAGACTAATGTTGATCAAGATGGATTCTTGATCTAGATATGGAAAAAAACCACATCTAGAGCACAGCACAGACATTGTCTTGGTCTACACTGAGCCCAATTGTAGACTACCACTGTCCTAACCTCTGCCCTGGAAGGACCCGGGTTCTAGAATCTGTTATAATGGCTTGTGGTTCTACCTGTAGTTGAAATCATTCCCTCTCCCTGGATGGAGCTGGAGTCTGAATAACCACATGCTTTCGCTAGAAGATGTTCTAAACAATGGATCACACTTCTTCCATGAATGCTATTTGTGGTCCAGAGAGAGAATTACATTATATATGGACCAAAACCCACCTCCTATTTTGTCTGTAGAAAGTTTTCTAAAAAATCTTATTCTTCCATATAGAAAAAAAATCCATCTTCTTTTTAAATGGACTTTCTAAAGCTTAGAATTCAATCTCTCCCTAAACATGGGTACTTGCAGGGCAATAGGCGGGGGAGTCTAGGGGTAGGGGGAAGGAAAGAAAAATCATGTTTAATGAAATTTCAGGGTGAAGGCACTGAGACCCAGAGTACTGTGGGTGGAGGAGGGAGGAAAACATCTGCGGTTGGGGTGGGGAGGTGGGGGCTATGGGAATAATTCCTGAATTATATGGAAATATGAATACTTAGCTACCTCACCAGGGACTCCTTAAGGGTCCTCCATAAATAACATGAAGTCCTCAATATCTGGGATGGAAAGAGGATAATGAGACACTGCTAGAAGCTGTCAATAGGAGAACAAATAAGGAATCCTCTGAATCAGCAATAACATTCTCATATTGGTCAGGTAATGATGGGGAAAATCAGAGAACTTTGATTCTCCATCTCACTATCCCCAGATTTTTGACCAAAATATAATAACCCTGGGTTTCCTAAGAATTTTTCCAGGGGATCAAAATCTCTGGAAGGCCTTAACCTAGAAAGGCTTCAAGTATGCCCCAGAGACAGGCTTTCTGCCTATTGTCCAAAGATTTCTCTAGCTGAACTCAGAGAGGCTCATCACCAGGTTGCATTTAAGGTGATGAACTTTTTGGCTAAGGCAAATTTCGAAGCCTACTTGCTAAATTGCAGCGAGGTCTGTAATCCATGTTTGTGGAGATACTGATGAGATCACAAATCCTTGAATTACTGAAAAGAGAATGTAAGTCATAATTCAACTAGGGTGAAAGAAAGAAAGGGATACTTGGCAGATGGAATAAATAGGACTAAAATGAGATTAGAAACTGTGAGATTAGAATTGTGAGTTGAGGAGGAGTATGGGGGGGGATTGTACTGTGACTCAATGGGAACACTTAAGGTCACGGGAGAGAAAGATTCAGGAACCACTAGGAGGAATTAGAGAGAACTGGAAACTACTGGGAAAGAATTTAGAAGAACTGGGGTCAGGATGAGGGATTATCTTTCAGAACCTATTTCAGCTTCCTGAGATTGTCGCATGATTGGTAGAGCCCCAATCCCACCCCACTCCTTACCATCACAGACACCTGCTGCCTGTAAATCCTCCCTCTCCGGGGAACAAGAGTCCTTCCCCTGCTCATTTCCTCGATTAAAGGTGATTTGTACAAACTCTGTGTCTGTTCTGGAATTGGGAAGATTGAGTACCTGGAGTTTTGAGCGGGAGAGGGTAGCTGAGCAGGAGGTAAAATTATTTTAAATTTTTAGAGCAGTGGGCAAAGACAAGGCAGAAAAGGGGAAGGGACACTTGGGTTTTAGAACTAGGGTCCCAGCAGCTGCTGGCCGACGAACAGGTGCACATTCCTAAACGCCTAGTCATTTCCTCTGCCACTCGATCCCAGCTCACTTGTGCTGTGGAACCAGCCTAGGGAGAGCAGAGAGGCAGTGGCAAGCATGACCCCAGGAGTGTTGCTGCTGGGGACCCTAGGGGTCCTGTTCTCCATGGACGGTAGATAATGGGACATTTGGGGCGAGTTCCTTGGGTCACTGAGAGGGGAAATTGGCATGGGTGTGTGTGATATGACTGGGGGACCTTCATGGTGCAATTTTTAGGGGCAAGCAGCACGTTGGCCGAGGGTCAGCTCTTGGAAAAGCTTTTCTCGGGTTACGATAGCTCCGTGAGGCCCGCCCGAGACCCTGGGGACCGCGTGCCCGTCAGCATCGGCCTAACCCTAGCGCAGATCATCAGCCTGGTGAGTTAGAGGTGTCTGTCGGGCTAGGGTTGGAAGTGGGGAGTAAGGGCAGAAGGTATGGGGCCTAAGGAGTGACGGATTAGGATTCAGAGACAAAGCTCCCGAGCTCATGGGGGAGGGGCCCTCAGGAGGAGGGGCTTAAAGATAATTTCTAAGTATACGTAGAAGAGGCGGAGCCTGGAACTGGCGAGACCAGTGGGAAGGGGCGGGGCTAGTATGAAATGGGCGGGGCCGGCGAGGCATCTGGGGAGTGGCAAAGCTGAGTGGACCCGTGGAAAGTAAAAGAGGGAATTCTAAGAGGTGGAAGGTTCCCCTTTATTGGTTCTCTACTTTAGCCCCTTTAACTCCTGTTCCTTCCCTTACAGAACGAGAAGGACGAGGAGTTAATCACCAAAGTGTATGTGGACCTGGTACGGAGGAGACTGTATGGGAAGGTTTCGGGGGTGGGGATGGCAGGATAGGAGATCCTATCCCTTGTGCCTTCTTACCCTAGAGATGGGTCTCTTAACCTAGGGTCCACAAACTTGGAGGTTCGTGGAGAGATCTCAGGAGATCAATAAGAAAAAAAAAGTCACATCTTCATTTTCATTAACCTTTGACTGAAATTGAGCATCTCCTCCCACTACTAATGTAGGCAACAAACATTAATCTGTGAATGAGTCCGTAGGCTTTACCATACTACCAAAGGAGTACATAAGACCAAAAAAAAAGATTAAGAACTTCTGTGCTAGAAGGACCCAAGCATCCGACAGTTCCCTCCACCACCACCCCCGCCCCAGGCCATTCATTCAACAAACATTTAGTAAGAGTCTAGTAGGCACTGGACTTGGGGTCAGGAAACCTGCATCCAAATACTGGCTCTGACATTAGCTGTGTCACTACATACGTAGTGACATGCGTCACTTCATTCCTCTGGACCTGTTTTCTTTTCTTTAAAATGGGGACAATAATTGCACTCCCTAATTCGAAAAATTGTGAGGAACGGGCTTCACGAACCTTAAAGCTGGATATAAATGCGAGTTGTTAAAAATTGCTGTGTGCAGAGCACTATACCTGAAGTTAGAGGAGACACAAAGTGTAGGTCCCTGTCTTCAGGAACCTTACAGTCTGGGATAAATTGGTTGCCCAGCGCTCGCTAAACCATCACCTCCCGCGTCTCTAGGTATGGACGGATTACAGACTAAGCTGGAACCCGGCGGAACACGAGGGGATAGACTCATTAAGGATTGCATCGGATTCCGTGTGGCTCCCGGATGTAGTGCTCATGAACAAGTAGAGGATGGGAGTGGGGATGGGGGGGGTGGGGATAATGGTGGGGGTGCGACGCGGTCACTGGGAGGGAGGGGGGTGGGACAGGGACTCAGGTGGCAGGGTAGGTGGGAGGCTTTCAGGGCGAAGCCTGCAAAAATATGCTTGGTTGATTCGGCCCCACCCTTCAGCAATGATGGAAACTTCGACGTCGCTCTAAATATTCATGTGTTGGTGACCTCTGACGGCTCCGTGCACTGGCTGCCCCCTGCCATTTACCGCAGCAGCTGTAGTATCCAGGTCCCTGACTACTGGCCCCTTCTTCACAGGGATAAGCAATGATTCTGCAATAAATCCCCAGTCCCTTCCAGTCATTCTCCCCAGCCACCACTAGTCTCCTCCAACTAACTTCAAGTCATTCCCAAAGACCATCCCCAGTGATTTTCAGTCCTTCAGTAACTCCTCCTCCAAGCTCCCTGTCCCTCCCAATGACCTTCCCTAGTGCTTATTCCTCTCCTTCCAAGTGACCCTTCCCAGTGGCTCCTAATCCCAGAGACCCAACCACCTCTCTTAGTAACTCCTACTCCTCATCCTGACCAATAGCTGGGGAATATCGCTCTGATGCTTCTTCCCTCACCCTTCAGGTCACTTACTTCCCCTTTGACTGGCAGAATTGCACTATGGTCTTCAGTTCTTACAGTTATGACAGCTCTCAGGTCAGCCTGAGCCCAGGGCTTGATCCGGATGGACAAGAGAGGCGTGAAATCTACATCCATGAGGGAAACTTCATCGGTTTGTGCTTGACACAGATAATTATTGAGGGATTCAGTGGTACATACAGTGGGTACATATACCACATATGAATGTGCATAGCTCATATGAAAGAGCAGATATGATTTTTCCTACTTAAATGAAGCAGCTAGTACACATATGTTAATGGGAGATATCTAGCACACATGTTATGTAGTTGTCACACAGTAAACCCAAACTTCTTTCACTTCTACAACTTTGCCTACCACCTCCTCCAGAGAATGGCCAGTGGGAAATAATCCATAAATCCTCAAGACTGAATGACCCTTCAGGAGAGGGACAAGGAGGGAAGGAAGGAGAACGCCAGGATGTCACCTTCTATCTGATCATCCGACGGAAGCCACTCTTCTACCTAGTCAATGTCATAATTCCCTGTGTACTCATCACTCTCCTTGCCATTTTTGTCTTCTACCTACCCCCAGATGCTGGTAAGGAAAATCTTGGAGTTGGGTGAAAGAGATGAGGTAGAAGAGAGTATTTGTGGTCACCTTTTCAGCTACCACACTTCAGATTCTCCCTTTTCCCAAATTCAGCCTTTTTCAAGCCTGTTCAAGGATTCTCCTTCTATAATCCAAACAACTAAATCCAGCCCACAGCCAATTACTGAGTTTTCCCTCCCACTGGACCAGCTCTCCCTGCTTTGAATGTCCCAATGTCCCTCCACCACCCCACCATCATCATCATGGCTTCACAACAGGACTCCACAACTTTCATATTCCCTGTGAGACCAAGGTCTCTTACTTTCTTCCAGTAACTCCCTTCATTAGCATCCTCAGCTTAAAAAAAAGAAGGGAGAGCTGAAACTTTGAGTTCTTTTACATGGAAAACTGCCTTCTCCCCCTGGATTACCACATAACTTCCTTGGGATGGGGTGGCCTAATTCAATTTGTTCATTTCATCTCTCACTCACTCACAAACAAGGGGAGAAGATGACACTCTCAATCTTTGCCCTGCTGACCCTGACCGTGTTCCTACTGTTGCTGGCCAGTAAGGTTCCTGAGACATCCCTGGCTGTCCCCATCATTGTCAAGTACCTCATGTTCACCATGATTCTGGTCACCTTCTCAGTCATACTCAGTGTCGTTGTCCTCAACTTGCATCACCGGTCCCCTCACACCCACCAAATGCCCCGCTGGGTTCATCAGGTAAAAGGGACTATTCCTCAGAAACATAAATCTGCATGCTTGGGACTTATCCACTCCCCTTCTCAATTTTTGTGAAACTGTGCAAGAGTGTGGGAGGGAATAGATTTTAAGATGTGAGTCCAGCATCCAATTAATTTCAACAAATAATAATTTCTTATGTCTTCTGTTAGGCAACAGGGGGGCTAAAAGTTTTAAAATGACACAATCTCTGCTCCCAAGGAGTTTATATTCAAGACTCCATTTATTAAGCAACTCTGTGCCAGGCATTATGCTAGGTGCTGAGAATGCAAAAACAAAAATAAAACAACTCCTGTTTTTAAGTAGCTTACATTCTATACCCTGTTAGTATAATTAAGTGGATGGGGAGGGGTTAAATCATGTGGCATAAGAAATTTAAGGAGGAACAGCTGGATATGGTGAAAAAAGCATCGACCTGGGTTCAGATTTCACCTCTGCCACTAACTACCCATGTAACTATTATACAAACTCCATTTCCTCATCTGCCGAGTGAGGGGTTGGATTAAAAAAACCTTTGAGGCTCCTTCCAGCTCTAAATATAAGATCTGATGGTAAGAAAAGATGTGGAACTAGGCCTTAGAGGAGTAAATTCCGAAAGACAAGAGATGGGAAGAGGGAGCTCTTTCAGCCATGGTGATGGAGGTAGGATGAGATTGCAGAGCTGTTTGGCCAGAACATGGCCTCTCTGTGTGGTCAGGATCTTACTCCTATCCGCCCCTCCCCCCTCCATCCTCATCTTCAAAGTGCAGAAAATAGCTTGGAATGGGTGCACTGGAGCTGATTCTCAGCCTCTACCCCTCTCTAGATCTTCATCCACAAACTCCCGCGGTACTTGGGTCTGAAGAGGCCCAAGGTAGAGAGAACACTGAAGCCTGAACCTCCAGTCTTGGCACTCAGGGACTCCCCTGGCAGTGGCTGGGGTCGAGCCACCGATGAATATTTCATCCGGAAGCCGCCAGGGGATTTCTCTAAAACCAACAGGTGAGTCCTGACCCTACCCCGATTTTACAAAAGATGCGAAAAGTACAGAATTAGAGGCTGTCTTAAGAACCAACGCCACTGCCGCAGGGAATCATGGGTGTTGTAGTTTTTCGTGTAGGAGGGGGTTGGCAAAGAACCTGGACCCTTGTATTTCCTTCGAGCTTTTGGGAAGGTCCAAAGCTTCTCGGGGGATAGAGTGGAAGGTCTTTATAGGGAG